AGGATTCGCCAATATCAGAGGTGTAGGCGACGTATCGATGGGCGGACATCATGATGGTGCGGATTCGTGTCACGTAGGCGGCATAACGGACGTTGGATTCGGTGGACTCGGGCGCACTGTCGCAAGTCAACTCAGCACTCTAGTTCAGTCGCAACGGTCGGCACTCACTACCCGTCCACCAGCTCGTCGAAGAAGTTATCCTCTCTGTCTGACTTGTCAACTATTTTTTGCAGCGCCGCTGGCAGCTTCTCACGTGCCGGCAGCTTGTTGGGGTCGAACGTCTTGGCGCCATCTTCCTTTGGCGACTCTTTCGGTTGTTCCGGTGTCTTGTCCTGGCTTCTTCCCCACATGTTGTGTGCTTTTGGTGTTGATGTACGGATTACTTCGTCTGAATCTGAACTATTACCACCCGGGTTCGCTTTTCGGAGGCTGGCAGCTTTATGTGTGCATGGATGGCGGCAGTGCTGGGGGAGGGGAGCCTAAAGGGTAATGTAGTCGCCCTGCGCCAGCGCGCGCCGGAAACGCCCGCGGCATGAATCTTCTGATGTCGGTTGTGACGTCGGCTGCTGCTTGGTTAAGAAAGGTGCATCGGGAGCTTCAGCCACCGAGTGCACTTGCATAAACTTATCCGTCTGTGGCGCAGCAGCGATACGGAGGTACATGTCGGTGGCTGGAAATCCCCGCTCTCCCGATACTGGCCAGAGGCTCAGAGCCGAAATTGAGGGCCTGACAATCCAGGCATTAGATTCTCCAGCTTCCGAACGAATTTCGAGCTCCGAGTATCGACATCCACGACGAATCTCATCCATCTCCAATTGCCTCCACCCCATCGAACCAATTCACCCCCGAAGGCTCGCAAACCCCCTAATACCGACAAAATGGTTCAGATGTACACTATCGCCGGCCGCCAGATTGGCTCCCACTACGTATGTCGCTATCCCGAGCGCGCCTCTCTGCCTCCGCTGCTCCCTGCAACTCCCGAACCCGGCCCCCGAGCATCATCCCAAGGCTAACCTCTCTTTCCGCGCAGCTGGCCATGGGCGTCCTCGCGACCCTCTTCGGCGGCGCTTCCTACGGCCTCAGCGGCAGCAAGCCCAAGGCTACTGCCACTCCCCCCATCAACGCATCTAGCTCCGACGAGGCCGACTTCATCAAGTGCGTCATTTCCCCCTGGACGGACAGGAATCCCTTCCCCATTTGCTGACGAGGAGACGTAACAGGAAGTTCTTGGACAGCGCGGACAAGGACGAGAAGGCGAAACACTAGACGGGCGATATTCCGGGCGAAGTCAATGGTCTCTTTGCGACCTAGTGTATTCATAGAGGGCTTGGTTGATGGGAATGAAGACATTTTCTGACCAGCAAAAACGCGACGACGACATGTACCGCGAGGGTGACTCGGAAGTCGATATCAGTACGCAACTTTTCACGATCTTTATCCAGCAACAATTGGTCTGGACGCAAGACGGATGATCCAATTGATAGGAGGGATTACCAGGGGACCAATCTGAACTCGTCGTCTTCAAACTCCCAAAACGTTCCCGAGGCAATGACGCCCTTTTCTGACTCTAATAATCGTACAAAGACTTCAGCTCCATCCACCGGTTCTTTGGTGCCGCGAAACCCGTTGAAAGCCGTCTTGCAGTGCCCGGGGCTAGTTGCCCAGAAGACGACTTTGTCATCGGACGACCTTCGTTCTTCGGCCAGGTGGAATTGCAGGGTCAGCATGTTCAACGCAGCTTTTGCCATGCAATAGTTGATGGAGGCTGCTGGCGGAAGCTGTGTGTTGTGTGAGACAAGTCTGCTACCGAAAGTGCGGAAAGTGATGTGTGCTTACCTCCCCATTTGCTGTTCTTGTCATGCTGCCTCGAGCACTCGAGGTCATGATGACGCGAGGATATTCGGATTTGCGAAGAAGCGGGAGGAATGCTTGAGTGACTATGAGATTCGAAGTGACACAGTTTGCAAGCACAGAGTTGGTCGCGGACCGGACATCGTGGAGGTTAAGTGATTCCGAGACGGTGACTCTGGCGGCGTTGTTGATCAGGACTACCATCATTAGCTGCCCGGATTCGCAATGAGAAGATAGGTAGTAACTCACCATCTAGTTTACCATACTTCTCTTCAACGATGGTGGCAGCGGCGATAATGCTTCCGTCATCCTCAATGTCGAATGGGAGTACGTCTAAAGCTTCTTTGATACCAATGTCTCTCAATTTGCGAATCGCTTTTTCGCCAGACTCCTGTGTGCGACATCCGACGAGGATGGTGAAGTTGCTAAGTCGACCGGCGATCGCCTGAACAATACCAAACCCGATTCCTCTGTTCGCGCCAGTGACAAGAATGATAGCCATGGTAACTGTACTGAAATACAAAATGCTTGGCACCAGAAACCTCCCAATAGACTCTACAATCGCTTTTATATCATCACGCCGCGCTTTATGGCGAAGCTCGCTGCGAGTCGATCACCGGACTTAGTAAGTCGTATGGCCATAAACCCGATGTTGGCGCCGGGATGGCGGAGCATGCTACTGTGTAAGCCCGATACGGCGCCAGTAAACTCTACCCACATCGTCCGAGCCCGTTTCGGCCCCAGTCACGGCAATGCCCCGTGCCGGAGCTCATGGCAGGCCGATCCATCATTAGACGCGGGGACTGATCCGAACCTTTTGCGGTTTATATCTCAGCTGAAAGTAACGGAATTCTACTACTAAGAGAGGGAAGGCAAATTGTAGGGATTTTCAGGTGTTTGCTGCAAACGTGCTTCCCGGTTCAACTGGGGCCGTAGGGGTTAGTAATTTAGCTCAGCCAAGTAGTGTCAATGATAACTAACTCACCTGAAACAACATCCAAGAGAATATGTGTGCAAACAGAGCATCTTCATCATGACAACCATTGAAGAGAAGAATATCAAGTCTGTTGCGACTCCACTCGAGGTAAGACTATCCTTTACGGCTCGTAATGAGAGTCAACGATCTACACAGATCTACATACTCACTGCCGAGTAGATAGGCGATCGTCTCAGTCCGACGCCAGCATCACGCCCCAGCTCAAATAAGGTGAGAACCTCATATTGCGTTAGAATCTTTCCTGAGTTGCTAAAGAGATATTTTGCAGGCGGGCATCTCAATCATCCAATACGACCCCGCTCTTACGTCCATAATCGGCCCAAGCCCAACTCACGCCCTCCTCCTATCCTCCCTAGACGCCTCAGCCAACGCCTTTTTCCACCGCGGATGCGTATACATCCCCTCCCGAAGAGAGCTATGGACGACCTCCGCCCCACTCGCAGCAACTGACCCTACGCGGCCCCCCACGATCCTCATGTCAAAGGTCAACGTCGAGCCCAGCAAAACCAACGACATGCTCGCCGTAAAATGGGCCAAGATGCGCCCGCCTCCAACCATGCCCATGCCGGCGGGCGGCTGCTTAGTCGGAGAAGACGTCGCCGTGTGGTGTTCCCAAGGAAACATGGCCTCGCAGACGGGCGGCGTGCTCACGATGCAGGCGGGTAGGCACCCGCAGCGCGTGGCGTCCGGCTACTACGGCCACGACTTCAACTCCCCGCACAGCGCGGCCGTCTCGCCGCTGGATAACGGCATCTGGTTCACGGACCCGTGCTGCGGGCACGAGCAGGACTTTAGGGCGCGTCCTCAGCTGCCGCCGCAGGTGTATCGGTGCGAGCCGAAGACGGGTGAGGTGAGGGCCATGGCGGATGGGTTTAAGCGGCCGACGGGGATTGCGATTGACGAGGAGTTTGAGACGGTGTATGTTGCGGATGCTGGTGGTGTGCGTGTTGATGGGAGTCTTGACTTGACTGAGTGAGTTCTTTGTTTCCTTGTTTCCTCGTCTTATTCCCCTTCAGCTCTGACTAAGGTATTTTAGACCGCGGAGTATCTACGCTTTTGATATTGTGAAGCGAAGTGGTTCCGTCTTCCTGGCGAATAGGCGGCTGTTCGCCCTGGCTAGGAGAGGTGCTCCCATGCACCTCATGTGCGAGAATGGCAATGTGTGGGCGGCCTGTAGCGACGGCATTGAGATTTGGAGTAATGGCGGTTCATTACTTGGCGCAATTCTGGTTCCAGGCAAGTTTGACCGCTCTGAATCTGAGATTTCAATCTGTATGCTCCTAAGGATGCTAACATGGCCTCTCTGGTAGGTGGTGTCATGAGCTTCTGTCGCGGGCCAGATGACACGGTATTTATCTGTGCCGAACAGAGGTTGTGGAGGCTCCAGCTTTCTGGTGATCATTCAGTTGCTAGCCCAGAGTTGCTTTGAGCTACAGTGATATACATATGAAGACTGACATGAGGGTATGGCTATCAAAAGTCTTCCTGATAACCACGCTTGCTTTCAATGGGGTGAGGAAGTTGTCGAAAGCATGGGTGTACAGTGGGCCTAGAAAGTAAGGTGGAATCCATGTAGCATCGTAAGGCAATTCTTTGCTCGGCCCGTAGTGTCTTCAAATCGAAAAACGAGGCAGTTGGCTGCAAGATAGTAGGCTGGGAGATGGGGAAGATCCTGAATGTCCACGACTGCCTTTGGAAGTCGATGTGACCGCAGCGAAACCTCAACCTAAACCAAGCACCATAATATTCCTCGGTTCTCGGGAGTATTCAAAACTAGACGTATTGAACCTGCTCACGCTGCTTCTTGAGTAATACAGCCATATGGGAGCTGGTAGTTTACACACACGTGGGAGCCTGCCAGCACGACTGATCTCTTCTTCTCATCGTTGTACGTTTACCCTTGAACAGACGCACCATGTTATGAATAAAATAGGATTTGAGCTGCCTGCAAGACAATAAAAAAGGTAACAGCTGATTTGTGCTTCCTGGGCACGCTTCAAAAAAAAAAAATGATATTCACACGGTGGCACAATCGAGTCGTTGTGAGGGACTAAATCTCAGCTCTATCCCGAGGTTTTCTTCACACAAGATCGCAGTGTATTAGACGGCTTAAAGATTTCTCACTTTGACGACACAAGCCAGTTTTAGCGTTTCACGTGGCGGGCGTCCTTGTGTAAAGGGCTCGCTGTAGACGGTCAGCATAGCTAAATTGGGAGATATTGAAGACTGAAATCGATTATATAAGTATGTCCTTAGTAACTATGTAAAAGTCAGGGGAGGCAGTTGTCACGTCATAGAACAATATCAATCTCCTTTCTATCATGAAATATTTTCTTGTCGCAATCAACTACATACCTCTCTTCATGTAGGTACTATCCAATAGAGAGTATATGCTTACCCTGTTTGAACGTATCGTATCGTATCGTATCCCAGCTCCTAGCCCAATGACCCAAAGGGTATGGAGGCTCATGCTGTAAACCTCGAGAAACTTCAACAAGTGCGGGAGTCGTCGGTGGCGTAGTTGTTTGCGTCAGTGTTACGAATAATAGACGCACGAGGAGCAAACCCATAACCAATATCATGGACTTTCTGTTCCAGAACAAGCACATACGACCACACCCATCGGAAAATTCGGGATCCCGTCCGCTCTCCCATAGACAAGCCGATGAGGGCCAGATCAGTAGTTGAGTCGGTGACGATCAGCGAATACCTGGTGTTGTATGTTTTTGATTTTTTTCGTTTTCATTGCCAAATCTGATGGTGGGCGACGGTTATAAAAAGACCACTGTGGGTCGGCGAACTCGACAACCAGTTGGAATGTAAGCCTCAAGGCCTGGAACTATTGTATTCGTATCAATTCGTATCAATAAGGACTATCTCCATCAATACGTACTCTAAAAACCTCCTTGTCCAGTCGTATCTAGCCGTCTACACACACCGAACTCCTGCAACATCTGCCCAACGACAACCATGCCCCCTATCGCAGGAGTAAAGCAAATCGCTGCTCCAATGATGACATAGAGATAGAACGACGTCTCAATGATGCGGAAATACTTTGCAACCAGCCAGTCTATCGCCCGCTGCATGAACGTCGCCCTGTCAAGAGCATACGCTATCGCGTCGTTCGCACGAATCTTATAAACGCCGTGAATCTCAGAGGGAAACACAGTGAGCATCCTGATGACCGGACCCATGACGATGCCAAAGATGAGCCAACCGAGAATCCAAACTTGCTGGTAGATAGTGCTGTGCCCGGGGCTGAACCCAGTCACGCCCGCGACGAGGATGGCCGGCATTAGGAGGAGTACCGTCGTGACGGCAAAGTACGACGCATGAGCCGCTTGAGAGGGCCAAAAGGTCCGCAACGGCTCCTTGATGCTGTCGAGGTCGACGCTGGCAACCATGCCGGAGAACCTGCCCCCCAACCTCTTCGCCTTGTCGAGGTCGGGGGTATGGACGAGGTAGATACAGTTATACTCTGGCGTAACAAGAAGCGCAATGAGATTGACGAGAGACATGAACGCATACGGCGCCACAGTCACGCCGAAGGCGGCATAGCCATACCGCTGGAGCTGGTCGCCCTGCGTGCGGTAGACGGTCGTCACGCCCCACGCGGCTTGGCCCAGGGCGAACAACGCCTTGGGGATGTTGTACGTGCTGCCCAGCTGGATGTTGGAGCGGTCGAGGTGGGCGGCCCCCGAGCCGGGAGGCGGCATCAGCGGCGTGCCTACGGGCACCTCGACCAAGATGAAGCCCTTGGGTAGGACGCAGGTCCCGTGGATGGTCCGGGAAGAGTGCACCCACCGACCAGCGCCGCGAAAGCGAGAGCGATACCATTGGGGGGTGGGGATATCGTACCTTTCAGCATGAACAAAGTTAGTCACAAGAAAATGCGTATTGATTTGAAATGCTTCAATATTCTAAAGCGGATTCTGTTCAACACTTACCAGCTTCGCGCCCTCTCAAAGTTCATCCGCCTCAAGGACGTTTCTATCCACGAGACCTTGGACCTCTCCGTCTCGTCGACGACCATGCATAGCGCCCCGGCCCTGATAGCCCGACTGAGCTCGTCGCGCCTGACCGTGCCGGCGTGGGAGAGGAGCCAGCGGGCGGCGCGCAGGGAGCCGGTGCTGGGTAGAAAGAGGGCCGTCAGGACGGTGAAGCAGGTCTCGAGGATGGATTCGCCGGGACGGCTGGGGAGGGTGAGGGCGTGGACGAAGTAGTTTGTTGCGTAAAAGATGACAAAGTCGGTCCAGATGGGAGGCGTACAAATGAGTCTTGGGTCGCCATGGTTGACGGTTCCCGGCGGTACGGTGATGGTAATGTTCATCGTCGGCCCTGAGGTTTTGTAGAATACAGACGCATCTCCGTGAAAGTGCAACTTGAGCAAACTGCTTAGATTGAAAGATTTGTCAAAGGAAACGGAGAGGCGGCAAATGACCGAGTAGAGGTTTCGAGTCCCCGGACACCGAGGTCCCGTATACAGAGCGTCTACGTCAGTTAAGAAGAAAGCTCAGCTCTCTTCAGAGACAACTCGTAGCATCGAAGTATTTGCCAATATAGGTGAACGCTATAAGTCGACAGAGCTCATCTGTCCGTGTATCTTGTAAACCCGTCACGCCAGGCAGTGACCTTTGAGGGGGGAGGGGAGAACACATCGTCACCGAGTAAGTCTCAAGCAAGTGGACATGACAAAATCCCGAATTCCCATCACACATGAACGTCAGGGGCGAATAGGAAAGATCCGACGGCTGAATCTACCGAGATGATGTTGAAACGACTTCTCAGCTCAGACTCGTCGGATTGGCTGCTCCCATTCGCCCAAAGTTCAGCAGAGATGGAACAAGCTCCGGCGCATAGAGATGCTGCAGCCGGCAAGACCCTTGCTCCCCGGCAGGGCTTATCTTATCAGTTGCGACCCCCTTGCCTTAGTCAGCAGAAATGCACTTTAATCAGACGCGTCAAGACGCGTCTTCCGCGGGGCATTCCATTTCGAGGAGACATCTCACTCTAGAGAAACCACAGAAACTTGCTTTTCCAACATCTTGGACGCAACAATGGCACCAGCAGCTGTCGAATCCACAAACATGTCTGTTCCCGAGAACCCTACGAAGCAGAATGGCGCTTCCTCTGCCAAGCGCCACGAGGAATACCAGTACCTCGATCTCGTTCGCGAGATCCTCGAGGAGGGCGAGCACCGTCCGGACAGGTAAGTAGAAGGAAAGCAACCCAAAGTAACGAGCACCATGAGTTGACACAGTTAACAGAACTGGCACCGGCACCTACTCAATCTTCGCCCCGACTCCTCTTAAGTTCTCCCTCAACAAGAACGGCGAGCCCCTCCTGCCCCTCCTCACAACCAAGCGTGTCTTCCTCCGCGCAGTCATTGCCGAACTCCTGTGGTTCGTCGAGGGCAACACATCATCGCTCGCCCTGAGCGAAGCCGGCGTCAAGATCTGGGACGGAAACGGATCGCGCGAGTTCCTGGACAGCGTCGGCCTCTCCCACCGCGAAGTCGGCGACCTCGGCCCCGTGTACGGCTTTCAATGGCGCCACTTTGGCGCCGAGTACGTCGACTCCAAGACGGATTACACGGGCCAGGGCGTTGACCAACTGGCCGAGGTCATCCACAAGCTCAAGACGAACCCCTACGACCGCCGCATCCTCCTTAGCGCCTGGAACCCAGCGGATCTGAAGAAGATGGCGCTCCCGCCGTGCCACATGTTTGCGCAGTTTTACGTCTCGTACCCGCGAGCCCGCGGCGCCACGCCCGCAAACGAGGAGAAGCCAAAGGGCCACCTCCATTGCCAGTTGTACCAGCGGTCTTGCGACATGGGACTCGGCGTGCCCTTCAACATTGCCAGCTACGCGCTCCTGACGCACATGATTGCGCGGGCGTGCGACCTGGTACCGGGAAGCCTCACGCACGTCATGGGCGACGCGCACGTCTACGCGGACCACGTGGACGCGCTCAAGGTGCAGCTGGAGCGGGAGCCAAGAGACTTCCCGCTGCTGGAGATCAACAACAGGGAGCCGGGGTGCAGCATTGACGGGTGGAAGGTTGAGGACTTTGTGGTCAAGGGGTATGAGCCGCATAAGACGATTGCCATGAAGATGTCTGTGTGAAAGCGACGAGGTCTATGCGTTGCGGCGGGGGGAGGGGGAGGGGAGGGGAAGGGGGATGACAGTTGTTGTTTTTTGTTTTACTCTTTAGGGAGGGAGGAGGGGTCTGATTTTTGGCCCTTTGGTTGGCTCGGCATTGGGAGTTGGGATCGGAACTTGCATTAATGAAGTGTGACACACCCTCAGCATGTGGCATGAATATGAGGGAGAAGCTGTCAGCATTGAAGGAAAAGTAGGTAGCGTATTTTCTTGTCCAAGGTAAATAGACTTGTGGGAATATCAACCAGCATTGAATGGCAAGCTTGCTTGACGGAACAACTGGCCATTTCTGTGGTGACTGAAGTACATTGGAATTGATTCACGTCGAATCATCAACTTCGTTTACTGGCATTACGCCGAATGCCATGTCGGATTCAACAGAGTGATCCAATTGCAAAACGGATATGAAACTTATCCGTAAATGACAGCTGCGAGTTGATGCAACCCACGCAGAGAAGCTTGGGCCAGGCACCCCAAACGAAATGTCCGGGCGCCTGGGACCTTTTTTTGCTTCATGGAGCCCAAAGATAGGTACTTTGTAAGGTATGGGTAGCAGAGGGTAATTGGTGGTACCAGGAGTAGCTCATTGGATGCATAAACAAGTGACATGCAACCTTGGCGGATCTCCCTCGAACCGCATGTGCTGGCTGAATAAGCCGTGCTACAATCCTAATTCGTACGGCCCTCGCTTCGCTTGCAGCTAAACACTTGCGCTTTCCCACATTTTCCCTCTCCCAGCTTGCTCCCTCCTCTTCCTTAACCAAAACTCCCCCCCTTCAACCACTTCGTACACGGATACAACGATTCTCCCAAACCACCACGACACCCAGACCACCACTGGCGGCCCCCTCGGCCCCCCCTTCATCCGATTAAACACCCTCCCCCCGCGTCTTGCACATATTCACATTACCTCAATACACGGGCTTTTGTCCACCGAGCGAAACCCCCGTTCGTCGCAAATCGCGGTTTTCGGTGGTGGTGGACGCGCGCGTCGAGCATCGGGAGGATAGTCACCAAAACGGAAAAGAGAGAAGTTCCTTCATCCACCATGTCGGACCACGACCACACCCAAGACGTACACCACGACGCCGCCCACGAACTCCACCCCTCACAACAACCCGACGTCCTCCCCGGCGGCCCGGATCCGGACGTCACCGGCAGCCCCGTCGGCGGCACACCCAAGGAGCGTCACTCCCTCACCCTCGACCAACGACGCGCCCTCCGCCGCTGGGCCAATGCCCAGACAATCCGCCCCAGCCACAAGGCCTGCATCGACTGGTTCTACGCCCAGTATGGCCAGCACATTTCCCAGTCCACCGTCTCCCACTCCCTGAGTCCCAAATACTCCCGCCTCGATGGCGACAACCCCCAGCTGAGCGGCAGCCGCCTGCGCTTCGGCAATTGGCCCGACGTCGAGAAGCTCGTCCTGCGATGGTACCAGCAGGTC